ATATATATATATATATATATATACTGGGTAAATTGTATGACAAAGTAGGAAATGTTTACTTGTGACGCATTAGACCGATGAAAGAATTTGAGAGATTAAAAATAAATAATAATATTGATGATAAAACTAATAATATTTAGTATATATTAGTAGGACAGGAGGATAGAGGCTTGGATTGAGGAATCAGACCCGAGTTTGAATTCCAGTCGAATCCATTACATTCACTTACGTGCTAATACCCTTGGGAAAGGTATGAATCCTTCCCCTCCCAGCTATGGGTAAATAGCAGGACAGACCGAGTTCTATAGCCTTGGATAGCAACTGGTCTACCGCAGAAAGAAATGGCAATCTACTGCGGAAAAAAAATCTGCCTCGTCAGTCATGTATCGAAAGCTACATGATCGTCTAAGCATGTATCTCATATGGCACATAACTGACTGATATTAGTAAGCCTTTCGACTACAGGGAGGATAGAAAGATTTTGAAAATCGGAATTGTAGGACAATAAAAAAGTAAAACTGAAGCGGATTTTTCTTTTCCGGGGATTTTGTTTGTTTTTTTTTTCTTTTTACCCATGTGTTATATTAAAGAAGAAATAAGTGTTAGTTGTTTGTCATGATTAGGATTGTAGAAGGCTTGTTTCTGTGGAAACTGTAATCTTTGAGTAAGCCTAAATACCTGTCTAATCCTAGAGTGTATGATTCTATTTTAAAAATGTATTTCTACTCGGATTTTCGTCGTTCTTGTTGGCATTTAAATAAAGAAGCTAAAAGGATGCATCTAATCGTATCAATACTATGATCCAGTTGGTTGAAATGTTCAGCTACAGTAAAATTGATGTTGTTATCTTTGATAGGTTTTTTTTTTATGGTTATAAAACCGAAGACGGAAATCCGTACCTGTTTCAACGACATAATTTCCTTATTTGCATTTGTTGCAAAAAAGTAAATATATTTAAATTGTCACAAGTCAAAGAAGGATGTCTGATTACTATCTGTTTGCCAGCTGGCATAAAAATACTATTGGTGATGATATGCTTACAAAAGTCAAAATTACTTTTAAAATACTTTTTATAATACAGAATATTAAAAGATTTAAAACTTTATAAATTATTCTAATTAAAATTTAAAAAAACGAAAATAATTCTTGCAAAAATTCATTATTCATCGAAAAAACATTTTCTTAAGTGTCCATAACATATCTTATTCATAATAGCAATTAAAACCTTTTCCATTTAAATAATGTTTAAATTTTGTTACATTTTTTACGATACAGAGCAAATTTAGATTCTCCAAGGACTTCTACTTATAACTAATACAAAAGGAATACAAGAATGAATTTCTTGAAAGTTCATAAGATTACATAAGTGAGGGAACCGTAGTAGATGTAAAAATGTTTTTATCGAGATTTTCTAAAAAAGTAGTTTTTATAAAATAGTTTGATTCATTTGTCAATAAATCCTAAAAGTTTCATTAATTCTTGCAATTATTTGATTTTTGCAAGAATTTCCAAATAAATATGTTTTTCACCGGAAAAAAAAATTTACGGTCACTCGCTGATGCAAGAAATATTGGATTTTTTACCAAAATTTCGAACGTTAATGGTAAATTTCTTTTTAGTGGTTACTATCATTGTCGCTCACAGGTTACATTTGAAAGGAAAAGAAAATTCAGTCATCAGTGATATATATATATATATATATATATATATATATATATATATATATATATACTAAATCTCTCACGTACTTTCATATCTGCTCAATGCGTATCATTTGTTTGTATTTGGATACACATTGAGCAGATATGAATGTACGTGAGAGATTCATAGAAGATTGTAGTTCAAAAGCAATAAAATCGACCTGGCTAACCGAACGATCCTCTGTTGCTCAATAGGTTAAGGCTATATGACGGTTCTATATAGAATACAAGTTCGATTCCTGTCGAAGGACAAATATTTTCTATGAAAATTTCTTGGACATTCAGGCCAGTAAATGTTATTAATACTGTTTATTATAAACAGAGCATTTACTTAAATATTTGTATCTATAAAAAGAAAGTATAAACATAAAAATGTCTTAACATATATATATATATATATATATATATATATATATATATATATATATATATATATATATATACCTCCTCCGGTATTTTATATGCTTTGGTTATCCACTGTAACGAGACTGACCACAATTTTGACATCAAAAAATGCTACTCTTACAAAATTTCTCCATTCTTAGCAGATCTAATAAGACAATGCGGGGTACCTGCTAACAAAAATGATGGAAAGCAAAACAAAAAATCTGTAAATGAATTCGGCTAGATATATAAAAAAAATTAATAAATAAAATTAAATTCTAAGATCCCCAGGGCCCCCTATCCGTGCGCATGTGTAGTCGTGCTGACATAACAAATTCACTCCGATGAAGTCCTGAAGGACAAAACGCGTCACAAGTAAAGTTTTTCAACTTTGTTTTTTTTTTTTTTTTTTTTGTTTTGTTTTCACCTGAGGCAAGATGGGAGTGCCACGAGCAAGCAAGGGGTTGCTAAGAGTGGGGGCAAGAGTAAAGAGGCTTGATAGATGAAAGGAGGAAGAGACGGACGGGGAATTAGATCAGCCCATCTGAATATGCCACGAAAGCAAGTAAGAGGAAGGGAGTTACACAGATGGGAAGTGCGATACATAAAGCTATTTGAGTAAAAGGACGTCTCTACATTTAACCGTTTCGACAATGAAAAGGTGGGACCGTGATGCCAACCTAATAGCACGTTTAAATTCATACAGTTTGGGAAACAGCGAAATAGCTCGTCGGAGCAGTTACCGTAAAAGTATTCGTAGAAAAGACAGAGGGAAGCGATGGCACGTCAGTGGGAAAGTGACTGTAGATGAGATGCCAAATCATGACCAATGGCATATCCGTCTCTGCATTTTGTTGAGGATCTTAAGACGAACAACGGGGGTTCCAGACGATATATGGCAGCAGTATTCCATGCAAGGGCGTATCGTTGATTTAACATACAATTTCCCAGTCGTTAGTGTATATACATTTTAGTATCACACCATTATACAGACGGAGAGTAGCATGTCTTGCGTAACATAGTCCAGCACCTCAGTGATTCTCTGCTTAATTTCCTTTAGGCTTGATGAAAGAAGAGGGATATAGACTTGTCCTTTCACATAGCCCCATAGAAAAAATCACAATATGTCAAGTCAGGTGAAAGTGGTGGCCATTTCAACAACATTTTGTCATTATAACTGGCACGCCCAATCTATCTTCTTGGTAGATTCTCATTGAGGTAAGTCCGTGAATGTTGCGCAAGATATGCTACAAAGTGTTTGGCAGTAACTGGACTACAAAGATGTTAGTTAGATCCAGTGGCAGGACCCAAAGAGTGTAAATTCAATACCTGGTTAATGTAGTGGAGAACTTGGAGAGGGGCATTATCGGGAGATAACTGATAATTGACATCCATTAGACATGGCACGTGGAACTAGAACTGTCTACTCCAGTGAGCAAAATAAAGGGTTCAGTTTGACATTCCAACCACCTTAAGAAGGCCGGAGAGTAAAACGGCCGAAACGTTGTTATAAATATGGCGAAAAAGATGAGGACAATAGTCCGAATAATGTAAATAGTGTACAAAAACCTCATCTCAGAATTCATACATATATATATATATATATATATGACCAATAACATTTTTATAATTTTACGTACATATATATATATATATATATATATATATATATATATGAAGAAATATAGTTTTAAGGTGTGCTATAATTATGGGATAAAATGCTCAATATCAGAGATGGAGCGTATGTAAATATAATTATAAAAGTGAACATTGAAGTCACTTCTCTCAGAGGCGACAGGCAACAGACGGCCTGACGATTGCATCCAGCATGAAACAGCCTGTCGCCTCTGAGTGTTGATTTCAATGTTCACTTATATATATATATATATATATATATATATATATATATATATATATATATATATATACATACATTAGACATGGCAGGTGTAACTAGAACGGTTTACCCCGGTGAGCAAAATAAAGGGTTCAGCTTGACATTCCAACCACCTTAAAGAGGCCGGAGAGTAAAACGGCCGAAACGTTGTTATAAACATGGCGAAAAGATGAGGAGATTAGTCCGAATAATGTAATCAGTCAATTACGCTACCTTGGCTTCAAACTTTCGCTATCTTCAGGCAAATAAAAATGAGGACAATAGTCCGAATAATGTAAATAGTGTACATAATAACTCACCTCAGAAATACATATATATATATATATATATATATATATATATATATATATATATTGCCTGACGATTGCGTCCAGCATGAAACGGACTGCGGCCTCTGAGTGTTGAATTCTGTGTTCACTTTATATATATATATATATATATATATATATATAATTATGATAATATTAATCATGTTAATGGTCAGAGTTGAATTAGAACGGGAAACAACAGTATAAATTAAAAAAAAAATAACCTGTATCGAAAATCAGTCGATTACGCTAACTTGGTTTCAAACTTTCGCTATCTTCAGGCAATTCCGGGCAATTGACTTCCTACCTTTTTTTTTAATTAATGAGCGCCTTATTAATAATAAATAAATAAACGCACAACGTGAAGTGTGATAGATTGGGTAGTGGAGGAGGAGGAATATTATTGGAAATGTATCAGTGGGGGTTTTAAATGAAATGTACATACGTTCTTTTCATCCTGGTTCGCACAAACTCAAGAAGATTCATTTCAAACAGTAACTAAAACATCAATGACATCAGTTCGAATACACAAAAATTGTTAATTATTCGATTGGTTTCTCTCCCGAGAAAAAATGAAATCCACTTGACCATTCTTTTTACCACTGAGCTACATCAGAACATACTTTCGGTCGGATTGTGTAATGTGTTTCCAAATTTAAGCAGAATGGGGAATTTAATCGATTCGAAACTAGAATTTTCTTCTCAAAGATTATGAGAGTCCGAACTAAATATATCCCTCCTCTTCACAACAAGCCCGCTGTCTTAACCACTGATGTAAATCTCTCACGTGCTGCTGGTCGGGTTGTTCGGTTTGATTCGAAACTTGAGCAGAATGTGGAAGCGAATCCATCTGACATGCTCGGTCCCAGAAAGACCCGCAACGCCTTTCCAATTCCTATTTCTGTTTCTCGAAAGTGGGAAAAATGACGGCTCCAACTACATCGTACCAGGATCTCCCTTTGCAGAAGCATCGATCCTCGATCTGGCCTCCCTACCGACCCTAAGCTCACCATCATGCTTCAGACACGCTGGCTGTTGTGCTTTCCCGAAGCATGCCACATCTCCGTCCAGCAAGAACGAATCGTAAGCCGACAGCATCGCTCCCCACTCCCAACCAATACAGAACGTTTCTACTTTCACTTTCGCTTTTACGTCTGGACTTTTAGATTTAGTTTCAGTTTCAATGCGTTGGACATTTGTGTGTCTTTAGAAAAGGCTATGGCTACGAATTCCCCTCTTTGAAAAAAATAAATATAAGGCATTTATTTTAAGGATTTTTTTTTTACTGCAACATTTTCATTGTTCTTTTTTCTGTCAAACATATTTTCTTTCCCTTTTCCTTTACTGTCTTCTTTTCTCTTTCTTTCTTTCTTTCTTTCTTTTATTCCACATTTCCTTTCGTTTTCTTTCTTTCGTTCACTTTTCTATATTTCTTTCTTTCTTTCTTTCCTTCTTTCTTTCACTCAATACGTAATTCCTTTCTTTTTATTTTCCATTACTTTATCTCATATTCCTTTCTTTCTTTCTTTCTTTCTTTCTTTACTTTCTTTCTTTATTTATTTGTTTATTTATCTATTTGTTTATTCCATATTTCCTTTCTTTTTCTTTCTTTCGTTCACTTTTCTATCTTTCTTTCTTTCTTTCTTTCTTTCTTTCTTTCTTTCTTTCACTTAATCCGTAAGTCCTTTTTTATTTTCCATTACTTTATTTCATCTTTCTTTCTTTCTTTCTTTCTTTCTTTATTTATTTATTTATTTATCTATTTGTTTATTCCATATTTCCTGTCTTTTTCTTTCTTTCGTTCACTTTTCTCTATGTCTTTCTTTTTTTCTTTCTCACTTTCTTTCTGTCACTTAATCCATAATACTTTTCTTTTTATTCTTCCTCTACTTCATCTCATATTTCTTTCTTTCTTTCTTTCTTTCTTTCTTTCTTTCTTTCTTTCTTTCTTTCTTTCTTTCAAGTGTTCCTAAACTTAACAGGCTCTTTTCGATTTTTTTATACCTCTCCGTCCGTTTCTCCTTTCTTCCTTCCTTCATTACTTTCAGTTCCAATTTATTCATTGTAGTTCTTCTATTCTCTATTTCACAAACTTTTCTTTTCTTTTCTTTTCTTTTCTTTTCTGTCTTTTCTTCCATATTGGACTTTTTATAATTTACATCAATGAAACCTCCTAACCACCTTCTATCTATCTATCTATCTATCTATCTATCTATCTATCTATCTATCTATCTCAGTCTTTTCATATCTAAGTCTGTTCGTATCTATCTATCGATCGATCGATCTATCTATCTCAGTTTTATATATAACCCGCCAAGGAAAATTTATAAATAAATCTAAGTAAATGCATACTTACAACTTACAATATATATATATATATATATATATATATATATATATATATATATATATATGTGTGTGTGTGTGTGTGTGTGTGTGTGTGTGTGTGTAGTAGATAGATAGATAGATAGATAGATAGATAGATAGATAGATAGATAGATAGATAGATAGATAGATATGTCTAGTCTGTAATGGGTCGATATATATATATATATATATATATATATATATATATATAGAGAGAGAGAGAGTCGGTGAGATCGACTAAGTATCTGGTATAATCATGGCTTGGTAGAATGACCCGTTCTTTTTCCATCATCCTTAGCGATGAATCAACCTCCACGAAATCTGGAGTATACTTGAATATATCGATTCCTGGCGAGTCTCTATAGTAGATCGTCAGCGATAATCTAATCTGAAGACACATAATGAGAAAGGAGGGCTTAGAAAATTTGATGCACAGAGGACATATCGAAAATTTTTCAACATCGAAGCAGCGCCGACTCTGTACGTCGAATATTTCGCAGTATTTATGATCATCTAGATTAGAGAAGCTCAATTATCCGACTCCTCTTAACCGGTTTTGATTGAACAAAAAAGCCACGTTTGCGTGGCACAGGACATTCAACCGTGCATGAACAGTAGCAGCATCACTGTCTAAAAACTCAAAAACTTGAAAATTTTAATTAAAAAATCTACTCGTCGCCACTGAGCATGCGCGTAAAAACATCTGGGTTAAAAACACCATCGTCTTTATATGTGCTGCACATTTCGTGAGAAACAAAGAAAAGAGAGCTGAAATGTTATGTAATATAAATCCAGTGAAGGCTGGAAAATTTCCTCACTGATGAAGAGGACACTTGAAACTACGGAGATGCAGCAGACAGGTGCTGAAAAAAAAACTATGGATGGTGCTTGGGAGCAAAGATGAAGCTTTGGTTTGGTTTGGTTTGTTTTACGGCATATCAATCTCAATCGGTTATTTAATGCCGACAAGACATTCACTTACGTGCTAATACCCTTTGGAAAGATATGAATCCTCTTCTTCTCCCTACCCCTCCCAGCTATGGGTAAATAGCAGGACAGACCGGGTCCTATAGCCTCGGATGGAAATTGGTCTATCGCAGAAAAAAATGGCAACCTACTGCGGGGAAAAATCTGCCTCGTCAGTCATGTACCGAAAAATACATAATCGCCTGTATAAGCGTGTATTATGCATGACACATAACTGACTGGTTTGTTTTTGAGAGAGAGATTCCAAAGCATTTTATTTTGATATCAGACATTACTGAGAGAGAGAGAGAGAGAGAGAGAGAGAGAGAGAGAGAGAGAGAGAGAGATGCCTAGTTTGAATTCCAGTCGAAGCCATTACATTCACTTACCTGATAATACCATTGGGAAAGGTATGAATCCTCTTCTTCTCCACCCCACCCAGCTATGGGTAAATAGCAAGGCAGACTGGGTTCTATAGCCTTGGATCGAAATTGGTCTACCCCAGAAAAAAAATGGAAACCTACAGCGGGAAAAGAATCTGCTTCTTCAGTCATGTATCGAAAGATACATGATCGCCTAAGCGTGTATCACACATGGCACATAACTGAACTGATATTCACTTACGTGCTAATACCCTTGGGAAAGATATGAATCCTCTTCTTCAGCTCTGGGAAAATATCAGGGCAGACCGGGTTCTATAGACTTGGGTGGCAACTGGTCTACCGCAGATAGAGATGGCAACGTCAGTCATGTATTGAAAGATACATGATCGCCTAAGGGTGTATCACGCATAGCACATAACTGAACTGATTGCTACCATTTTTTTCTCCTAAAAGTGTATTGCTGGTAATATTTTTTGTTCTGATTTACTTATTTATACTAAATTTATTTTTCTTTTCTCGTCCCCCACAGCGTCCTGTGAATGACGAGAAAATACATCCAACAGCAAGGGTTTTGATCAGGAGGTTTTGAAGATCGTAGAACCACGTCTTAATTCTGCCTCGTCAGTCATTTATCGAAAGATACATCATCCCCTAGGCGGTTGTCAGAAACAAACAAAAGAATTCCGACCTGCTTTGTCGGATCCATCCTCAAGAGAATGCTTAACAATTTTCCCATAAAAAAGGGGGGGAAACTAGAGATGCAGTTCTACAGAAAGATGCTGAGAATATCATGGATGGAACAGGGCAGCAGAAATAAAATTTGAAGGAAAATACAAACGAAAAATACAATTATACTAATAGTAGTAAGTCTGATTGGGTAAATGTCCAAATTATCAGCTGATCTCAAAAATAACTTGCAATCTACAGTTAACTGGAGCAAGGAATGGCTTGTTAATTCTAACGCCAACAAAACGACAGTGATCTCTGTTAATCGTCTGAAAGACGCCTTTCTGACTTCCATCAGCATGGCTAATGCTAACCTCCAGAAAAGTAATTCATTGTGCTTTCTCTGGCTAACATTTTCGGTTGACATGAAGTAGAAATATTATATTGAATCCATTGCTAAGTCTGCTGCTAAGAAATTTGGTTCATTGTGTCGTGCTAGATAATTTTTCTCTCCAGAATTTATCTTACATATTTATATATTTACCATTCGTCCATCCGTTAAATTGATTGCCATATGTGGTGGGGTTTTCCTGCTTTATAGATTCTAGATAAAATCAAAAGAAGAATCTGTAAGGTTATTGGTCCTCACCTGAGATATCGGCTTCACACATTTTCCCTGTAATCCCTTCTTGATTTCTAGAAAAGTTTTAGCTCCAAAAGTTTAAAGGCAATGTCAATCGTTATTCACAGCCTGCCTGATAACACTTCTATTGTTCTCTCTCAGTATTCTTTTGTTGAATTCTCTTCCGGCTTCTTGATTTCTAGTCAACTTTGAGCTCCAAAAGTTTAAAGGCAACGTCAATCATTATTCACAGAGTTCCTGATCACTCTACTTTTGTTCTCTCTCATTTTTCGTTTGTGGAAATCTCTTCCGGTTCCTTGATTTCTAGCCAACTTTGAGCTGCAAAGTTTTTATGGCAATGTCAATCGTTATTCACAGTCTTCCTGATCACCCTTTATTGACGCTATCATTTTTCGCTTGTGGAAATCTCTTCCGGCTTCTTGATTTCTAGTCAACTTTGAGCTCCAAAATTTTAAAGGCAACGTCAATCGTTATTCGCAGAGTTCCTGATCACTCTACTTTTGTTCTCTCTCAGTTTTCGTTTGTTGAATTCTCTTCCGGCTTCTTGATTTTTAGCCAACTTTGAGCTGCAAAATTTTTATGGCAATGTCAATCGTTATTCACAGACTTCCTGATCACTCTTCTATTGCTCTCTCTCATTTTTCGCTTGTTAAAATCTCTTCCGACTTCTAAAAGTTTAAAGGCAATGTCAATCGTTGTTCACAGTCTTCCTGATCACCCTTTATTGCTCTCTATCATTTGACGCTTGTGGAAATCTCTTCCGTCTTCTTGATTTCTAGCCAACTTTGAGCTCCAAACTTTAAAGGCAATGTCAATCGTTATTCACAGTCTTGATCACTCTTCCTTTGTTCTCTCTCAGTTTACGCTTGTAGAAATCTCTTCCGGCTTCTTGATTTCTCGCCAACTTTGAGCTTCAAAAGTTTAAAGGCAATGTCAATCGTTATTCAGTCTTCCTGAAAACTATTCTATTGCTCTCTCTCTGTTTTCGTTCGTTGAATTCTCTTCCGGCTTCTTGATTTCTAGACAACTTTGAGCTCTAAATGTTTTATGGCAATGTCCATCGTTATTCACAGTCTTCCTGATCACTCTTCTTTTGTTCTCTCTCAGTTTTCATTTGTTGAATTCTTTTCCAGCTTCTTGATTTATGCCCAACTTTGAGCTGCAAAAGTTTAAAGGCAATGTCAATCGTTATTCACTGTCTTCCTGATCAATCTTCCATTGTTCTCTCTCAGTTTTCGCTTGTGAGACACTCTTTCGGCTTCTTAATTTGTAACCAACTTTATAGCTTTATTTCCCTGATTGAGTGAAATGATTAGTCGCATAATAGGAAAGAGGGATTGAGGAATTTGACATTCACGAGACCCAGTGAACGCAAAAGGAATAGAAGAGAATCGACTAATCTTCCTAATAAACTTGTTTAAATGGTTGGCAGAATAAAGATTAGATCGTATAATGAAAAGACTAAGATTTACAAAGAACATCCAGCCGTTGGTTGTTTTTTGTTCAGCGGCATCTCAACCTCTATGAGTTTTAGTAATACAAGTTTTACTAATTAACCCATAGGTGGGGGAGAAGAGATGGATTCATAGCTTTACCAAGGGTATTTGCGCATAGATGATTATAATGAACGAAACTGGAACTAGAACTAGGCTCTTTGATTACTAATTCCAAGACATTATCCATTACATCACCCCCACATCTTACAGTACTTGGTATTCCAAAGCAGTCACTCATCTAGGTGCTGACGAAGATCACCGTTCATTCGATGATCGTCAGAGAATTTGCGTTTCAAGATGATGTGCCGTAAACCTTATATACTAGTCCCACATCCAGTCTTAAAGCATTTGTTATTCCCAAGCGATCATCCATGGCCAAGCTCGACGTTGCTTAACTTCGCTGATCGTAAGGGAATCGGCGTTTCAACATGATGTGACCATAAGCCTTTTAT